CTATTGGAGGAAGAGGAAGGAAGTGCTATAAAAAATAGAGACGAAATCAGATACATGCCATGCCATGTCTATACTGGCCTTTTCCCTTTGTAGATTTCCAGCCAGAAGCAGGTGCACCCTGGGAAGGAAGAAGATTAGATATTTGATGTTGATAACGAGCTACAGTTTTGATTAATCTTTTGTGTAGGACATTCCATTTTCTAAATTGAGACTGTGTGATATAATGTGACCAAAAGTCCAAGAATAAGTAGCAGATTCAAGGACCTCTTGGAGTTTTCATTGAGGATAAGATGGCATTACTGTCAGTAATTACATTTTTAAAATATGAGTGGGCAGCTGAATAAATAAATAGATAAATAAAGGTGCATTTTGATCACATTATGAACTATGCTTGAGTCAGTTCATTGCATAGAACTACTCTAGCTAGTGGCAATAACATTTAATATTTGTATAATTACTCCTGTTGTTATGCTGTTATGACATATGCCCCTCCACCTACTTCACAAAAGTGAGTTGACACAGCTCTTTTTGGTGTTATATTAGAGTCCTTATTTAGAAAAAGCCAAGCATGGTGTGGGCTTCTGATTTTGTCCATGAATATGAGGGATGAACAGTTAAGCACTGTAAATCGAAAACAGAATCTCATCCAGGCTCTTTCTCTTGTGTGCACCATGACCTCCTTTTCAAAGGCAGGGCTACCTTAGCATATCAGGCCTGGCATAGAACGTCATCTGGTAAACCACCGGTGATGAGCATGAGCTAAGACCCCCAGCATCAGGGGCAGCTAACCTTCTGGCCTGAAGGATTTAATTGCATTCTCCCTGTCAGAGAAGGAAGTTGGATTTGCTTGAATGGAGTTGCATTTTCTGCATCTGGATGATTTTTCTCTCCTATAAAACCATTTTCCAGTACCACTCCAGAATCCTAAAAACTGTTTACTTAGAAGCTTGTGTGGCTCACTCTCAGACCAAAGGCCACTCGGTGTCCTTGTGTTTACATTTCTACCTTTCAGATGCCTGGCCTTTGTGAGAACAGAACAGAGTCCTCAGGGGAAAGCACTCAAGGTTCCTGTTGTCAACTTTGTTCTCAGGCTCTGCTGTAGCATGCTCTACAATATTCCTTAATTCCTATGCTACTGATGTCAAGGACCTTGGCTTTCTGCTCAGCATCCTGCACAAAACACAATTCTTATCCAACTCTCTTGCCCTATCATGTTTGGGGTGCAAAGCTGATTCTCTGATGATCTCAGTCATGGCTTCCTGTGCCTTCTGAAAGAAACTTGCCTGCAGAAGTACACATTCTATGGATGAGTAGCATGCCTCTGATATTTTCTTTAATTGGTGGTCTGTGTTAAAATGTTGTCAGTAAGTTTACTTTCAGATAGACTAAAGCTAAGGCTGAGAGGAGGTCTTCATTTCAGGTCTTCAGAACTCACCTGGGTGTGAGTCAGAAAATGAGTCACCAGGCTTGACAAAACCAATAGAAGAAATGGATAGTTAAGACCTGGTCCTTAAAGAACAGCCATGTGGATGATTTCATGCTCAAATATACTGTTTCTAGAGCACCTGGAAAATATCTGTTTTGCCTGTGAATGAATTTTTGACATTACATCTTTGAGGGTTTCAAAGTACTCTCAAATTGTAGAAATTCCAGACATGTAGGTATAAATCCAAACTGTGAAAATGTGTGTTTAGAAAAGAGGGAGCCATGCTAGAAGATGAGTAAAATCTGAGGATCTAATGCATAACATGGTGACTATCATTGATAACACTGTACTCTATCACTGAAATTTATAAGAGAGTAGAACTTCCATTTTCTCACACACACAAAAGGTAAATATACGAGGTGATGGAGGTGTTAATTAACTACATGGGAGGGACGCCCTGGGTGGCTCAGACAGTTAAGCATCTGCCTTTGGCTCAGGTCATGATCCCAGGGTCCTGGGATCGAGTCCCACGTCAGTCCCCCTGCTCAGAGGGAAGCTTGCTTCTCCCTCTGTCTGCCGCTCCCCCTGCTGTGTTCTCTCTGACAAATAAATAAAATCTTAAAAAAAAACCTACATGGGAGGACTCCTTACACAATGTCTACATACATCAAATCAGCATGATATACACCTAAAATGTCTTCCAGTTTTATTTGTAATGTATACCTCACTAAAGCTGAATAAAATTTAAAAAATGAGAATTATAAAAAAGTAAAAAAATAAGTAAACAAAAAAAAAAAGAAAAAAGAAAAGGAAAGGGTGGGGGGAAGGACACCAGGAATTGCTATCCTAGTCACAGCCATGGTCTCCAGTGGATGCATTCCCTACCTCCTCTTTCTGCTTCTATAGTTTTCCAACTTTAGTGCCCTCCAGTGATTCACAACCAGGGATGAATTTGCCCCGAGGAGACACTCAACAATGTCTGCGGATGTTTTTGGTTGTTACCAGTAGGTTGGGGAGTGCTATAACTCCATAAGAGGCCAAGGATGCTGCTAAACATCCTACCATGCCAACCTTCCACAGCAGAGAAATATCCAGTCCAAGATGTCAATTATGCTGAGAAAATTCTGGTATATCCATCCCCATACCACAACAGGAATGCTCCTTTTAAAATGTACAACAGATAGTGTTACTCCTGCTCAGAACCTTTCAGCAGTTTCTAGTTTCCTTTGGAGTACACGTAAAAGTGTATTTCATTGGACTATAATGCCAAAAGTGACCTACTCCTGCTACCTCCCTGAATCATCTCCTGCTGCTGGTCCTCTCTCTTACTTCTCCCCAGCCACAGCACTATCTTTGTTCTTTGGACATCTCTCTCCATCCATGTCTCTGCTCAAATGCCATTTCCTTACAGAGGACTTCTTTAACAACTCTATCAAAAAAACAAGTAAACAACTACAAACAACTACCCTCTACCTCAGGGGCATAAAATCAGATTAATCATAATCCTTCGTTCATGACATACACTCAGTATTAACTCATGAGAGGGCTTCCCTCCCTCCCTACATCAATTCCTCCCTCTCTTCACTCTTTCCTTCCTCTTTCCTTCCTTCCTTCATTTTTTCCTTCAAAATAATCTAATTAAACATATGACTTCAAATCCAACATGAAAACTCTCCCCTCATGCAAGATAATTACTATCCCAAATCTTATATTAACAACTTTAAAAGAGTTATTTTATATTATTAAACACAGCTATGTGTAACACCTTAAAAGTATGTTTTGGTTGTATGTGTTTGACTTCATGAAAAATGCACCAGATGTTTTTAATATCTGTAAACTTATTTTCACTGATATTGACGTTGCTAAAATCCACCTACAATGTTGCATAGAGTTATAGTATTCATTTTCATTGCTGCATACTGTTCCCTGATTGAATATGCCACAACTTGTTTTTCAATCCCCTCTTCACAGGCATTCATTTATTTGTAGGTATTTGTTATCATAAGCTGGGTTGTTCCTAAGGAACATGTTCTAGAGTTCCTCTTAATAGAACTTACCACCACCTGTATTTTATATATACATTGGTTAATTTGTTGATTGTCTTGTTCTCTGTCTCAGAAGAACATAAGTCCCATGGAAGCAGAGCCTCAGTTTTCCCCTGCCATATCCATAAGGCCTAGAAGAGTGCCTGGTATACAATAGGAACTCCCTTAATACCTACTATCTCTGCTTTTCCACCTTGGCCTCTCACCCAGCTTATAATAACAGCTTCTGGGCTAGTCTTCTCCCTTCCTTGCTGTCCTTGAATTAACTTCCAGCATAACAGCTGGAATGATCTTGTTAAAAGGTATGTTGGACTCTGTCACTTTCTGTTTAAAAATCTCCAGTGGCTTCCTGTATCTCAAAGTAAAAGCTAAAGTCCTTATAATAAACTATGGTTTTGCATGATCTTGCTCCCTCTTATTTTTCTGATCTTATTTCCTAACACCTGCCCCATTGCGCTCTTCACTCTAGGCGCACTGGCCTCCTTGCTACTCTTTGAATACACTAGATCCACACTTCCTCAGGACCTTTGCACTTGCTATTTCCTTTGCCTGGACAGCTCTCTCGGATATCCATATAGCATATACCTCACTTTCTTCAAATACATGCTTCAATTCACTATTAGTGAAGTCTTCTCTGCTACCTCATGCAAAATTGTAACCCATCCCTTGTCTTTTTTTACAGTGCTTTTTTTCCCTTGACTCTTATTGCTATTTAACCTATTTTTAATGATATATTTTGTCTGTCTCTTCTTATTAAATTGTAACCTAGAGGAGGCAGAGATTTTTGTCTGTTTTGTTCGCTGCTGAATTCTTGGTCCCTAAAAGTGACTGGCACATATGGATTTTCAACAAGTGAAGGAAACAATCAACAAAATGAAAAGGCAACCAATGGAATGGAAACAATATTTGCAAACAATGTATCTGGTGAGGGATAGATATCTAAATATATAAGGGACTTATACAATTCAATAGCAAATAAAGTAAAATAAAATAAAACAAAATAAATCCGATTAAAAATGGGCAAAAGAGAGGCGCCTGGGTGGCATAGTCAGTTAAGCATCACTCTTGGTGTTGGCTCAGATCATTGATCTCGCTCAGCGGGCAGTCTGCTCGAGACTCTTTCCCTCTGTGCCCCCCCTCAAATAAATAAATAAATTCTTTTTTTAAAAAAAAAATGGGCAAAAGACCCGAATAGACATTTTTCCAAAGAAGACATACAAATGGCCAACAATTACATGAAAAGGTGCTCGACATCACTTACCATCAGAGGAATGCAAATAAAAAACATAATGAGATATTACTTCACCTCTATCAGGATCTCTATTATCAAAAAGATATAACAAAGCCTGGCATGGATGTGGAGAAAAGGAACCCTCGTGCCTGTCAGTGAGAATGCGAGCCGGTGCAGCCACTATGGAAAACAGTATGGAGGCTCCTTAAGACATTAAAAATAGAACTACCCTATGACCCAGCAATCCCACTTCTAGGCATGTACCCAAAGGGGGGGAAAAATCATAATCTGGAAGAAATATCTGTACCTCCATGTTTATTGCAGCATTATTCACAATAGCCAGTGTAGGAAAATAACCCAAGTGTTTGTCAACAGATAAATAAAGAAGATGTGGTACATATATGATGGAATATTATTCAGCTTAAAACAAACAAACAAACAAACAAGGAAATCCTATTATTTGCAACATCATGAGTGAAACAGGAGGGCATTATGTTAAGTGAAATAAGCCAGACAGAGAACAGAGAAAAACAAACACTGCATGACATCATTTATATGTGGAATCTAAAAAAAAAAAAAGTTTGAACTCATAGAAGTAGAGAGTAAAACGGTGCTTGCCAGGGACTAGGGGTGGAGGAAATGGGGAGATGTTGGTCAAAGGATACAAAGTTTTAGTTATAAAACCAATAAGTCCTGGCAATCCAATGTACAGCAGGGTGACTATAGTTAATAATACTGTATTGCACACTTAAAAATTGCTATAAGAGTAGATCTTAATTAAGCATTCTCACTACACACATAATAAAAGGTAACTGTGTGAGGTGATGGATGTGTTAGTGAACTTGATTGTGATAACCCTTCAGAATATATACCAAATCATCACATTGTACATTTTAAATATATACAAATTTGTCAGTTATTCCTCAATAAAAATGGAAAAAATAAAAAAAAAATTGCTGACTGAATAAGTAGGAATGAGGACAATGATTTATCATACAACTACTTATTTGGACATTCATCAGATGATAAATTTTGAAAGTCTAATGGATATCAAAGTAACTTAAAGCTTTATAAATAAAATCTTCTCAAAGCAACTGATGCAATCATCTGAAGAAATAGAATTTGAGGTAAGATAGACACCTGGATTAGAGTCTTGCTACTAATTCTGAAGATCCTAATTCTCAAAGCTTGCTGAAATATGTTAAGTAGAATTTCTACTTTTCACAAAGCTGAAACAATGATTTCCTAGAGGGTGAAATCAAATGTAGACTCATGCACTGGATTCATGAGGTAGCACCGACCCCCTCACTGCAGGCGGCCATGTGTGCAGCTTCTAACTAAAGACTTCAGAGGAACCAAAGCCAATCCTCCTTGCTGTTGTACCTCTGATGGTTCTTAAGGCAAGCAACTGTTTTACCAACGTTATTGCAAATTTAGAAGTCATTTACTTCCAAGTTCCAAAATGAGTATTTTAAATTTCCTCACTTTGGTGTCATAAAACTTCTGACGGAACTTCTAAGAAAAACCTACAGATTTCTGGAGGGGGAGCTAGATAAGAGATAGGTAGTTCCTGGCAAATCATGTTGTTACCCACCATTATTAGTGTAAAGGGAATACGCAAGTAATAAAATTAATGCCCCTCGAAGATATGGATACATTTTAGCACTAAAGGATTTAGGGCTCCGAACATCTATCTTATAACTTCAGCTAGATCTTAAATTCTATGAATCCCTAAAATGTCAAATGAGGCATATTCGATTTGCACGTGAAATCTATCATGCTCTCAACTTCCTTGAATTTTGAATTTTCATATAAAGGAAACATTCATTTTGCTATCATCCTCCTGATCAAATCAGCTTTACGTCTTGTATAGAACTAGCAATTCCATCCACACACAGGGATTTGATTTGGTTTTCTTTACTACAACTGTTGCTTAATTAATATATATATATATATATATTTTTTTTTACATAAAACCTCCAAAACGAAGTATTCTAATGAGTTGGAAAAGTTTTGCTTTAGAAATGATCCTCTTGCAATGACTCCCAGTGCCACTTAGGGAGCTACAAAGGCAGAGATTCCAAGGGTGATATGTTTTATCCACAAATGAAATGATAACATGAACAAACACATGTTTTATCTGTGCCCCAGAGCTGGGCATGGCTGAAGGGAAAGATGCATCCCTTGCTATCATCTGAGTCCTCCACCCAAACCCAACCATCAAAGCAGAAAATTTACATGCTCCAAAAGATAGAACTCAGATAAGTGAAAAGCTCTTCAGATATTTGTTTTAAAAATCCTTTGAGAGCATACTGGATTTGGATCATGAAAGAAGAGCTCAATTTGTACTTTTGATTTTTCCCAGTTTCACATTTTTTAAAAATGTTCTTTCACCACCTCCATGTGCAGAAAGAAGGCAATGAGCTTGCTTTGTTTCCCAACTGACCTATTCATATCAAGTTAGTTACACCCATTTAAGTCCCCCCCCCCCCAATTTTGGCTAGTCCCACGGAGCCCTCCTATGGAGCTGGAAACTGATATAGAGACTTTTGCTTTTTATAGAGAATTCAATCTCTCAGTACCATGAGACACCCTTTCTTATTAAAGAACAAAATGCATGGAAGTTGTTAAAAACAAATCATTTTCCATTAGAAAAAAGTTACATGATTGGAAAAAGAGAAGAGCACATTGCTGTAATTACCGGTACATTAAGCAGGGAATGAACAGCTGCGTGAACTTGGAGTCAGTAGAATAACAGCCACTGAGCCAGCTTCCCCATATGGTCCAAGGGAGGAGGTGGGGCTTCTAGCTGCTTGGGGATTGGCGAGGTGAGGAGGGGGCAAACTAGAATCCCATTCAAGTGAGAAACTCAGGCCAAGAAATGTCTGGCTTCCCAATCCAAACCCAGCTTCCTCTTAGCTGCAGTGGGAAAATCCCCCTGGCCTCCATAACAAAAGCCTCTAAAATCAATGTTGTTTTTTCCTAAAGAGAGCAAAATGTGAGCGTTTTCAGATTTTTGGCTACCCCGATGTTAATAGAAAAGATGACCTCAGAAAGATTGAATCACTTCCTCAGCTTCCTTGGGGTGTGGCTCTTACTTGGAATGATTGATATCACTTCATAAACACTATTTGATGCAGCATTTGCCTTCTTTCCCAATTAGAAGTAAGGTCCAGCCAACAGCGACGGGTCCTCGCCACCAGGTATTGGTCTCAATCTGCTGCAGTGAGAAACATTACCGCCTTCTAATTGGCATTCCCTTCAGAATTTGGCAAATTTGGTAAAAGCGGACCGGCACTATGGTAACCTTTCATTATCAATGCAAATCCTAACAGAAAGGCATTCCATTCTTCTTACATTGTATGTCATAAATTAAACACAATAAATTTTATTGTGAAACCTCCTCGGAAGACATTCCTGAATAGACGGGGCAGAAAATGCTTGCATTATACTGAACAGAGCCAAAATGTGATCGTGGCTGGAAGGGCTGGCTATAAGGAATCTAGCTATTTACAGGGGGAAATACCAAATAAGCGACATCATGCAAGGGGATGTTTTTGTGAGTACCATGTCCAAAACCATTCGGGTTTCCACTATATGAAGGTTATTATCACAGAGGATGGTGTCCAGCTGTTCTTCATTGCCACTGAAACAGAGGGAGAGGGGGAAAAAGGCATTAAAATGGAATTGGAGGAATTCAAGCTTCCTGAAAATTTGAGTTAACAGGAGAGGAATCCACTCCAGGGAGTTATATAATAGATGCCTTTCATTTGCTGTAGCTTTTTTTTTTTTTTTTTTTTTTTTTTTTAATGAAAAGAAGCACTTTTAAGACAGTTCAGGTACAATTTTGTTCATCAGTAAAATCATGGATTTCATAATCTTACAACATTTCTCCTCCTGAAAAAAAAAAAAAATCTGAAAAATCTTTCAGAATTAGGACTATGGGAAATTAGGCTATGTCCAGAGGATAATTTATTCAGTCATGCTATGGTGTGCCATGGAATTTCATAAAATGAGAGACTATTATTCAAGGAATCCTTTCAGAAATGGGTGCATTTCACACCATAGATTTAGACAGGCATATTCCAAGAAGGAGTATAATAATTTCCCCATAAATTAACTCAGGATCATCTTTAGAACTATCTAAATTTAAAAACAAAGTTAAAATGCAGCATTCTACTCAAATTAGGCACACGACTATTTCTTAGGAAATTATTCGATTATAGGCAAATATATAGATAAATGTGAAAACATCATTTGATGGGTACTGGCGTGTCCGTTTCTATTTGATTTGTGGACTCTCTACTTAGGAATTTATAGCTATATTCAAGCAGGTAGTGAAATATTAACTTGTAGGACTTTCTTAATAAACCAATTAATAAATCAACCCTGGGAAGAACACGTATTCCAGTCTTTCACACATGGAGCAAATCCATTACTGCCAGACTTCTGAGTTCCATAGAACACTCTCTTTTATGTTTTCCATTCAACTTGAATGAAACTTTCTACTAGATCTCATTCCAGATCCCCCAGGAGACAGAGCTACCTTTCAGCACTCAGTACTTTACCAAGGTCTGCACTCAAGTTTGAGCGTCTCGGTAGGCATGGGATCAGAAATGCGGGATTACTGGATTTCACTCTGATGGTCTCTCTTCTCAGAAACCATTAGAAATGAATATCACCTTCATCTGCGGCTCTTCTGACAGCTGACGTTTATCTCTGTGACCTCTGCTTTCTAGGGAAAAAAATTACAATTTGTAGATGGCTTTAAACTTGAAAAGTTTTCCAAGCAGGAAGGAAAGAGTAAAACAACAAAAGAATAGTTTTACTATGTCAGTGTATCTTGACTTAAACTCTCGGGCATTTAGGCCATATGCCATGGCCCTCTGCAGGAGTTAAGTGGAGTCAGAGATTTTTTCCAAGTTACAGAACTAGTTACTTACTGCAGGAAATAATCAGTTACTTTAGTTCAAGGTACAAATCGCATGAACATGAACAAGTTTCCCAGGGTCTGTGAAAATATTAATTTTCTCTCCTTTTTATCCTTTTATGGAGCATTTGCAGGGGATCCTTTAAATGATCGGTTCAGTTTCCTTCCCTATAAGTGATTTGTCCTCCATAGAGTGTGGAGTCCACTTCTGAACAAGAGATAGATTATCGTGGCAGTTGATAGCACAAGCCCTGGACCCAGTCTGACTGGGCTTGAATTCCAACTCTGCCACTGACCAGCTCTGTGCCCTTTGGGTAAGTTATTGACCTCTGAGCCTCTCTTTCTTCCCCTGTAAAACTGGGATTTCATAGCACCCCTTTCTCTATGATTGTTCTGAGTGTTTTTGAAAGTTGCCAGAACAGTTTGCCTATAGCTCTGTGAGATGAGCAGAGAGAGAAGAAAGATAGAACAGACCAGCACATGAATACCATGGGATCAAAACTAACTACTTTCTGCACAAGACGAAAAACACCATGCTCCTTGATATTTACCTATGGGGCACCAATATATTAATCCTCATTTTATTTTGAAGCAAAGGTAAATCTTTTACTTGTAAATGTGAACTACTAGATAAAATGGGCCACGGTCAGTAGTTTTTCGGTGAGGTAGGATGCCATGCTATGAATTTCCTACATTGTCTCACTTATCATGTGCCCTTCCTGAACACAGTAGCAATAAATAGATGGAAAGGAAGACGATGGATAAAGGGTAACACTAGTCCATTTTCGTCCATTGGTGCAAAGTCCCAGAAAACAGGCAGCTGGAGTTAGGAGACTTCCTTCTCTATACCCCACATTCACTGTCCCTTTCGCAGATTTAGAGACTGCCTTGGTCCTCCCAAACCTTTCAAGATCATTTATAAGTGTGGCTTTATCCACTCATGTGTTCATTTATAAATTTAACCAATACTAACTGAGCACCTACTATGTGTCTGGGACTCTGCCAGGCAGCCGCATGGGAGCTAGGTAGGGGGGAAGAGTGTCAAGAATGACCTATGTTCACAAAGATGAATAAATAGGGGACACCATCCTGATCCTCAAGAAATGCATGCTCTCGTGAGACACATAAAACAAATGATCCAAGGCAAACAATGATCAGAGCAAAAATCATGTAATACATGACAAAATGAGGTGTAGGAAAGAGACCAAGAGAGAAGGAAGTGTCTAGCACTGCTTAGGAAAGGTTGGGAGGGTTGATGTGGGGCTACGAGGAAAGTAGGAATTCACCCGGTAAAAAGGGAGAAAAGAGGGCATGACGAAGCAGCATGGACAGAAGAAATGTCCCAGCAAAGACACCAAGGCCTACAAGAGCTCCGTGCGCAAGGAGTGTGCCTCGTAATGTTTGTGGTTGGAATGCAGGGCATTTTGTGGTGGCATGGAGTTTCCGAACACAGTAAAGACACAGTGTTTTGAAAAGGCCACAAGTGACAGGGTGGTGGAAGACCACTTCCGAAGTCTTGCTACCATCCTGGGTTATCTGATTTCCTGCACGAAGGAAGCAAGGCAGAGTCCAAGGAGGCGACAGCGTCTGAACGAAGAATGTGCCACTTTCCTTAAAGACCAGCTTCCAGGAGTTTTGGAAGACAGGAACAGGATACTCTCTCCTAGGTGGCCCGTGTCCCATCCTAACATCTTGAAAGAGACGATTCTGAGTGTCAGGAAGGAAGGATCGTAAGTCACAGTCATCTGGTTTCACCGATGCCTAGGATCTACTTATTCCACCTTACCTAAGTCACAAACGTAGTTATCTTCTGTTAATGGTGGCTAATAGTAATTTATGTTAACCAGCCCTTAGTCTAGTTGTGAAAAATATTCCTTTTCACCTCAAATCCTGCAAAGGAGAGAAGAACCAGATTACCCAAGCCCATGTGAGGAGACCCAGAGGGTTGAACATGGGTGTGGCTTGTGATAAAAAGCTGAGGCCACTCAAAGAGGGATTTTCACAGCTAAACTTCAGATCAGGAAGAGAAATAAACACCTGCAGCTTAGTTGCCAATAGGAGAAGACCTAATAATGGATCATGGTGGTCCGTGCCAGAAAGGCCACATGTGGGCACCTCACTCACCCTATAGGCTCATTGTCCAATGAAAATCACGACACTCCCCAAAGATATATTTGAAACAACAGCACTATGATATTTGACCCTTTCCACTTACATAATAGCGCTATAAAAATCGATCTGGATTTGCCCTACCAACATTCAATCTGATAGGACGAAACCAGTTTAGGTTTTCATCGCTCTGCAATATGGATGAGAAAAGGACAATAATCAGAGCATTTTCTGGACTTCTCCAGTTTCTCAGAAAGCAGCATGAGTCAGCCCTCTCCGAAGAGCAGTGATGGAATCCGAGTGGGCAAACACACTGTGCGGTGGGACCGCTGAGCGGCCCCGCAGCCCCTCTCGCTCCCTAACGAGTGCAGGGCAAAAACAACAGAAAGATCGCGCTACATCTGCAAGCATTGTTCGCCCAGCTAAACTACCAAGCAGGTGAAGCATTTTTATCCCACACTCCAGCGCCTACAAAATCTGCCCGATTCCTTCAGCGGTTGTGAAGCCTGGGAGAGGAATTCTTAGGACAAATAAATGGGGGCGGGTATAAATGAAGCGAGAACAACACCTGTCTCTGCAGCTGGCCGGGAGACCTCCCTTTAATGTGCTGTCTGCTGGGAAATTGAGGCGTCTCAGGTTACGCGGCGGCCTGAGCCTGCAGTGGAGCCTGCAGAAAGGAATTCTGTGACCAGAAGATGTGAGGCTTGATCTGCAGCCAAAAACAATGGTGAAAGGTACAAAATGAAAAGCGCTGTCAGGACAAAGGCACTCGATCACGGAACAACACGCAGCTTGGCCGTTTGAAGAAATGAGCCCCAAACCGAAGTCACCACTGGATTAACAACTGGTTGATCCCCTATTACCTTCTAATGCTTCTCTGGCTGGGACTACTTGTTGAAATCGAAATGAGAAGAATACAGCCGCCAGCAGCCCAGCGAGGAGCGCACAGCGTCTGCCTTTAGGGCTAGTTCTGGCTGGTCTCGGAAAAGCAACTTGCAAGATTTATGCTCCTCCGCCTTCCGTCCATGTTTTTTTCCATTAAAGAGGGAAATTAGAGCAAAGTTACCAATGTAACTCCAGCCCCAGTGCTGGAGAAGTCCTTGCTGACTTGCAAAATAACTGTGGCTTTAGCAGAATTGTGTGCCCAATAGTAACAGAGGTGAAGCCCATAAAAATTGTGTGCACATATTAAAAACAAAACAAAACAAAACAAAACAAAACAAAACAAAACAAAACAAAACAAAAACGGGAGAAAAGACCCTGGAATTAGGTTCACGTTGGATCTAATGGTTTGTTTTGTCACATAGAATGCAGTTAGGTTTCAATAATGGGAACAAATAGAATGGAAGGGGAGGGTCTTTCCAAGAGAAGCTTAGAAGAATACATATATTTGAAATATATATATTTGAAGAATATCTTAGAAGAATATATACCTTAGAAGAGTATATACATATATATATTTCTCATATATATATATATGGAGAGAGAGAGGTGAAGGGGAGAGAGATTTGTGGTGGACCTCGGTCACATGGCGCTGAATGCCCACGGAATGGGAATCAATATCTGGGAATCCTATGATGGGAAGCAGAACCATTCAGGCCCCAGTCAGAGCCTGGATAAAAATGCAAAGACATTGCAAAAGTACCAGTAGGATAAAATTCACAATGAGCCCTACCTGACTGAAACCTACCTGAGGCTTTAGGGAAAGGTGGCAGAGGAAGATCAAGAATGCCTCCCTCCATAAAAGTGGGGAGCTTTAAGAGGGGCCCCACCCAGTGGGTCGATGAAGCAGGAAGTGAAGTGGACACCAAGGCCAAATTTGGTCACTTTGAATTTGGCTGTATGTGGGTTCTGACTATAACAGATGGAATTGATTGGGTCAAAGGTATGTGAAATGAGAAGGACGCCTGGGCGCAAGAAGGAAGCAAATGCCCCAGGTGTCCAGTCCCAGATATTTTGGCAGTGAATTTAGACACAGAGGGGAAAAATCATTTATTCATGGAAAACTTTCAGTGAACCGTTTTTAAACATATCTATGGCCAGTTTCCATGGTAAACAAATATAAGCAAAGTTTCATTGTTAGTTTGAAGAAATGATTCCACTTTATTAGATTTTTGCTTAATATTCTAATTAAAGCATTGATGACAGGGAATTCATTCATTAAAATATGTTATCAAAACCCTAACACAAACAAGTATTTGGTTTTTCAATGACATTCTCTTTCTTGTGTAACAATTGAGGAAACTTAAGCCATTTTTAATACATAAATATAGGTTTTTCTCTAGAATCACCTCCCTTTCTCCCTCTTTCTCTCTCAAACACACACACGGTCTCTCTCTCTGTCTATAGGAGAGGACACACATTTGATTCATGTCCCCGTTTGCATTTATGAACAAACCTCCATCACCATAAGAAATAACTGGAGCCTGGCCCTTACTCTTCTTCACTGAATGTACTGAAGAAAACACTCCATTATATCAACACTGACTCTATTGAATGAGATGCTGATCTGCTTGGGCATTTTCACTGAGTTTGAAAATGCACCATTATAAGTGTTCCCAACTGTGGTGAATTATGAATCTGCATTTGACATCCATCATATCATTTGCTCTATGCTCTGTCTGGTGGGAAGAGGAATGGGGTCAAATTGCAATTAAAGCCCGGGCACATTTCAAGAATTCTAAGCACTTTCCAATACTACTTATTTTCATCAAGTCTTCTGCCAAATATCAATTTGCTCACAGAAAGGCAATAGTTTGGATAGAAAGGAAAAAAAACTAGCAATTCACAATTTCTTTAAGGCTATTGACTACAATGTGAAGTTACATAAATTTTTAGTTGATATTCAGATTTTATGATATTTGTGCACACTGAGAATCCATTTGACACTTGATTTCAAATGTCGCCCTACTGCCAAGAAACCATGACACAAATCCAACACTGTATTGGCAATAATCAGCTTACAGTGCTAAATGGAACTTTTCTAGGTCTGCGACCATGTAAATAAAATTAAAATTTTAAAGGCAGAAGATTGGCAGGAAACATAAACTTCATTTAAGCACAAGCTTAGAATTTTTTTTACATAAGAGCACAATTCAGCTCCAATACGTTCTTGAAGGTGAAGATTATAAATTAGACCATCACTTCTAGGAGCAAGTCTTATATCTGTCATATGATGTAAGCTTCCTATCCAAAGCAAATTCAGTTTAGAGACAGATCCAAGCTTACTGTGCACTTTTCAGAATGCTGCTCACAGACTATAGTCACAAAATATTACTTACTGAGTCTCTTCCTTCTGTATGCAGGAAAGTATTAGCTAAGCCTTTCTCGGACTCAAAGAGTAGACCTCTACCTGATTTAGAACTACACTTGAAGGTAGTAGCCATCATAGTATGAGAAAGGAGCAAAAGTGATCTCAACTGTCTCGTATTTATTTTTTTCTCCACAAAAATGTAGTTCTCCTGAATCTGGACTTTTAAAATAATTTACTGTAATTAGACAAACCGTGCTATATAAACATTTCAACTTAATTTGATAAACAAGGATTAAATACCTCAATTTACTAAGTGAGATCTGGGATGCAAAGATAAATAAGACAGTGTCCCAAGAGGGGAAAGCAGACCTACATATATAACTATTTTATGAAGGAGAATGTTTTAAACACTTAATGAATTTATATACAGAATCCTCTGAGAACACAGAATAAGAGCAATAATTCTCTTATGAAGCCAGGATGTCTTTAGGGGAAAGTGATATTTGATCTATTTCTTGAAAATTAATGGAATTTCAACAAAGAGGAGATGGCAGGTAGTTCTAGCCTTAGAAGAGGGTGGGACCTAGGACAATCGGCTATGGCAGAGAGCCTAAGATAATCACACTTTAAAAGAGGCTTTGCTGCCACTATCGTTCATAGGCTCCTTGGGATTTCAAAAGATGAAAATGTCAAAATTGACTTGTACTTATGGTCGAAAAGAGAAGTAGGGTATAGTGGCCTGTAGTCTTGCCCCTTTCCACCACCACCACCAAGTACACAGCCAGGACTGTTGCCTACTGTCCCATCCAAGAGATGGACATGAAGGCATGTTAATAAACAAAGCAAAGTAACCTCTATCTCAACTCTCTACTGAAAGTGCTTCCACTAATGATATCCTTGACACTGCATGCTCCCTCCCCCAATCCCAAAACAATCCTTATTTCTCCTCTTGGCTATATTTGACTATATTGGACTCCTTCTTTATTGAAACAGCTTCTCTGACCTTCCTAGAACCACCATTGCCCTCTTGTTTCAACCACTCTTAAAAGTCAATCTCATTGACTTCCATAGCTTAGCTAACCCTATATGCTAATGAATTACAAATCTACATCTCAAGCGCTGATCCCTTTCCTGAGTTCCAGACTTATATATCCCCTGCCCACTGACTATCATCTGTTCTACTTAATTGGTTACCAACAACAATAAAGTCATCACCAAATCCTGATTTTTATTCCTCATAACTATTTTCTATACCAATCCACCTCTCTGTTCATGTAACAAAGAATCCAGTAAGGTCAATGTGGTTGTTCCCAAGAATTTCTGCAACAGTTCCTGAGTACTCCCACTTCCTCTGGTCTTTTCTCTCTATTTTATCCTGCACACTGCAGCCAGAATGATTCTTCCCACTGCAAATATGATTCTAGCACACCCAACACGTGTTTAAAACGGACTTCCAATTGCTTGTTGTATGATGTCCAAGGTACTTGTGTTGGTTGATAGTACTTTCATTATCTAGTGTTTTCTCACCCGACAAGCTTCACCACAGTAAGCATTCTCCCCTTTGGATCCTGTGCAATAACTACATTGAACATCTTTAATTGTTATATTATGTGTGGCCATTTTCTCTTGCCCAGAATCTGCACACTCACCCATTTTCCCCATCTTTAATTGACTCAATTTAAATAGTGCCTACTTCTGTATCCAACTTTCCTACCCAACATACCATCAACACTACCACCACAAGCATGAGGTAAGGTGACTTACTATTCACATTTAAAATCTAACATTTCCTCTAGTATAGCATGTAATACGCTTTATTTACTTATTTATGTATTTATTTTATTTTTTCTGACCTAGAACTGATCTCTATAAATACTAAGGGAAGTTTTTGTCTTATTTATTATGTATCCTCCATACACATCATAGAATCTGGCATATAGCAACTGCCTAATTATTACTTCTAGATACAGAAATAACATCAATATGTAAAGCACAAGTTCTGAAATAATTAGTGTTCTAATAATTTTGAGATATAATTGGAAAAATCAAGGCTGGTGAAAGAGATTGATCCAGATGATGAGAAATGTTAATCTTGAACTACAGTGATTTTTTAAAATAATTTTTATGTTTTAATCTGATTTTATTAACAATAGGAAAGAAAGCCGATCTGTAAGCAAGAAAATGATGTGAACAGATCGTGGCTTTTGGAAAGGGTAATGATGGTAACATATGGAAGAAGTTGGAGAGACGAGATAAGCCAATGAGGCATCTCTTTTAAAAAGCTTAAAAGAATATAATGCTTGGGGCGCCTGGGTGACTCAGTTGGTGAAGCAGCCACCTTTGGCACAGGTCATGATCTCAAGGTCATGGGATCAAGCCCTGCCCCATGTCCTGTCAGGCTCCCTGCTCATCCAGGAGTCGGCTTCTCCTTCTCCCACTGCCCCTTCCTCCTCTTGTGCTCTTTCTCTCTCTTTCTCTCTCTCTCTCAGATAAATAAATAAAATCTTAAAAAGCTTAAAAGAGAGACTATAAACCAGTGTCACAGTAACAGGAATGAAAAGGAGAAAAAGGGTGTAAGAGGCAGTGTGGACATAGGACCAACAGCACTAGAATATCCTCTGGATGTGGAGGGTGGGGAAAAGATGAATGTAAGGCTCTAAAACAGTTGATATGGAAGACACAGGAGAACAGGATCATTGAGGGAAGAACACGGTGAGATTTAATTAGGTCCTTTTATCCCTTCTGAATCTGAGGGATACTCAATTTAGAAATACAGATTTGAAAAATAAGTAGAAGTTA